GACATTGGTATCATAACTATCTTGTGCCAGCAGGCCATGTAAATCTAGATATTTTAATGGGCAGGTGGAAGTGTCACATCTCCTAATCAATCTTTCATATTCTATCTTCCTTCTATAATACTTTGCTTATTACTCAATTACAACACTAGTTTTGGCCTGCCATTTATTTCTCTGTCATAGAAAACATCATTAAAAGTGTTGGCAACAACAATCAAAACGAAACAAAACAAGTTATCCATGACTTGGTAAATAGAGATAAACAATTTAAAAAGCACTGATTATGTACTGCCTATGTGGCATTAAACAAGATCTTTTCAAAATGAATGGAAAATTTTTTGTCAGATTGCTGAACGTCATTGCACTCATAAGATAGCATTATTGGTGCATTATTAATTGAAAGGAGGGGAGTAGTACCATTCAGTCTTAGAACATTATACACCATTCTTTACAGCAGAGGTTCTTAATTATGGTATTAATATGAGCTTTTCTCCACCTTAATTATTTACATATTATCCAAAGCCAAGTGCTTGAAAGTTCTATCATAGACTTATATGTACTAAAGAAGGTGGTGATTGCAGTTATCAAGAGTTAATATTCTATAAGATCCCTAACTATGGCCCAGTGGGTGGTAAGAATATTCATTCACAAGGTGTCTTGGCTTGGGAAGCACAAGAATGATTTCTGATGCATTTGATTATCATAGACTGGTGCCGTTCATCTGGACAACTGCTGCCCATCCCTGGATGGCACCTTTGAGCTGATAGTTAAGAAGCCCATAATCTGGAAAATTCTTTGTCAGTGACAAAGATGTAGAGCAGGGATTAGAAGAAAGCATTATTTTCCCGTTACACTGCAGCTCTGTCCCAAAGGGCATTGGCTGGCTGACTGCATGTAATACACTCAGTAGTGTTTACCATGTGGAAGAATGAGGGTGAGGGTTGAGGATGGAGAACAAATGTGTATGACAATGTGAGTGGAGGTAGGCCTGGGTGAGGAGACACTGTGTGGTCATCCAGCCACTTTGTTCTGTTAAACTATAGGACCCCAGATGTAAGTCTGGACTCGGTGGGAGTACACCCACTTGGGCTGGGAGCAATTACAGAGTTAATCCTGAGGGTTGGAGGAGAGGGAGAAAAAGGTGTTTCAAAGTGCATGGCTAGGCACTGTTTCAGATGCTGTTCTACACACAACCTTGGCCCCAAGCTGGGTCCTCTCTCCCAGGGTCTGTGCACTGCACGGCAGCTACAAATAATTCTTTAAAAGGTGGTGATAAGGCATTATTGTAAAATGAATGAATGTGAGGGTAGTTTGAAATTTGCATTTATGAAAGGATGATGGCCTATATTAATATGGTAGCTTTGCGAATTTTTATTTTACCATTAATTGGATTTAAGATTGTACTTATAATGTTGCCACCTTCAGTCATACAGTATATCCATATACTTTCTTGGGCAGGAGAGAAAGCAAACATGGTGGGAACTGCACAGAGCTCTGATTATTCCCATAGGATTGCATCAGGCCCTAGAATGTCAGCAGGAAAAGAAGGTGAGAATTGCTGCTCCAAGTAACGAATGCCTTCTCTGACCAACATTTTTTCAATTAGGCAGTCTACCTTTGGAGAGGAAAAACTGCAGATGTAATGTTTATGAAATTTGCAATATGCTAGTATAAGATTATTAAGCTTTGGGTTTCACAGCCTTCCGCATCCTCCTCTGTCATCTTAATTTCTTCCCCTCTTACTACTATGTCAAGAGAAAGGATAAAAGCTTTTCAGGTGAATTCTTGAGAAAAAAGTAATTGGAGTGGAATAAAAACCATGGGGACCTAGTGGATGAGAGAGTTATGTTGGCGCAGAAGTGTGAGAGGACCTGGGAGCTTGTGGATACTAGAGAAAAGGAGCGTGTAGGAGAGTTTAGTAAGAGTTGCTGTGGATTACACACTTAAAAACTCCTTTGCAGGTTTGAGAGAGATATGGGAGGAGAGATTGAAATTCTGCATTGTGTCATGTTTCTTTAACCCAGCATCACTTTGGGACAGACAGCTGGGTTCTGGGACTTGGGAGATGGAGCCCCAGTGTCACCATTTTATAAGCATAAAGTAAACGAGGCATCTGTTCGCTAACACTGATGTCCTTTAATCTACCACATCTTTCCCCTAAACCGTCTCGGTTCTCCGGGATCAAGGATAGGGTGGATGGGTGGTACTGGGGTCAGGAGGTGCACCCAGGGAACCCATTCAGGCTACTGTGAAAATAAGAATGTTGATAAAGGTTCAGGCATTATAACCTTAGAACCCTGGTTCTTTTTGTTTCTCGAGAAAAACTATATTAATAGCAAAAGCTGTAGCACATATGTCTTTGTCAGAAACAAGGAGAGCATATCAGTCACACAAACTTCCATTTGGTCTCCCAGAGATTAGATTTTAGAATTGAATCAAGCTGCCAACTTTATATAAAGCACCCAACTCTTGGCTTGCGTGTGGCAGTGTTCTTGCGAAGCTTGCCGCTCTCTGGCCTGTTCTGCTCCCCTCTAAATCATAAACCTCTGGCACCCAGGCACAACCCTTCATCTCGACATGACCTCTGGATCCTTTTTACTTTTTAGCATTTTCTCATTTTAGATCCTTCATCAATATTTTCCAAATACAATGATCATTCACAATCTTGAAAAAGCAGAGACAAAAATTGTCTTACCTGCTTTTCTTCAAAAAGAAGCCTCTTACCTGCCTGCTTCTATGGCTGTAGCACAGTCAGACAGCTTTCTTGATCGGCACTGGCTGTGGAGGCTATTGACCCTATACCACCACCACAAAAGGCCCAGATCTAAGATCTCGGTTTGTAGATGCCAATATCCTCTTTCATTATTGCAGACTTACTTCATGATCCCTTCCCACTATTAGCAGTTCTTTTTCCTCAATGTTAAAGCATAACCAAGTCACTTTAATGAAACATACAAAAACAAAAAAAGCAAGAAACATTCCCTCTAACTACTTCTCTTTTTCATCATATGGGCTTCTTGACATAAAAGAAATTAGTACTATGTATTACTCCTCTCTCTGACCTCATAGTCACTCCTCCTCTTGCAATATGTTATATACAACTTCATCAGAAATGCTCTTGCAAAGGCTTTCCATGAACACCTGAACACCTCATTGCTAAATCCAACATACTTCATGTTTTATTTCACTGAAGCTTTGTAAAGACATGGGCATTATACTCCTTGAAACTCTCTTCTTTTGGCTTTTGTAATACTGTTCCTTCCCCGTTTTCTTCATCACCTGTCTGGCTCTTCTTTCTCAGTCTCCTTTTCTCCTTTGGGTATTCTTTTTCAGTTCATTCCTTAAATCTTGGTGTTTCAGTGGTTGCATTCTTTTCCTCTATTTATTTGCATTCTTTATGTTCTCTGCCAGTTATCTTAACTACACTTAAGGCTTCAGCTACAATCTATATGCTGATGATTTTCAAATCTACATATCTAGCCCAAATCTTTTCACCTGTGGTTCCACCTATAACTGCCTAGATGTTCCATAGACATTTCTAACTCAGCATGCTCAAAATGGTCTGATTTCTATTCCCAAAACTTGTCCTTCTTCCTCTGTCTCTTAGTGGTAATAACATTGACCAGTTTTATGAGAAAGAAACTTGATAAACATCTTTGATTTTTTTATCCTCTTCCCTTCAATCAGTGATTAAGACACTTTGGTTTACCTAATAATAAATATTAGTATTTATTTTTAGGAAATAATAATAATAAATTCATTCTCTTATCTCCTGACCACAAGATCATTCCCATTTTAGAAGTAAAGCCCTGCTCTTTTCTAGCTTTGATTGCTGAAATTATATAACTGTCTCTATTTCCAGTCTTGTTCTTTGTTTTGTACTCACAGTCTAAATCATCCCTAGAGTGATCTTTCAGAAATGCAAATGTGATCATGCCATTCTCTTGCTTGAAATCCTTCAATGGCTGTCCATTGCCTTCATGATAAAATCCAAAGTGCCTTTCCTCCCCTTTACTGCTTCCTGTGTTAGACTGCTTTAGGGAAGATGGGCTAGAGTAATAGTTTAATCTCTAGCTATTTCATGCTTGGCTTCACTTTACTGAGGCTGCCAATTAGTGATTTAGAGGTGAACTCTTAAGTGCTCTGCTGTGAAGTGAGCCTTGGCCTTGAAGAGATCAGCCTTCTTGTCACTAAAAACCTGCACTGACCTGAACCTGTAACCTGTAGTTGAACATCTATAAAGCCCCTTTGCTATCCCCTAAGTCATAAAAGTGAGCTACAGAAATGCTTTGGTTATTTCTAGGTCTTATTTGGCCTCAATAAAGAAATATATCTTTAACTTTCTGATATTTAAATCGTAATATTTTCAGACATAGATGATAGTCTTTTTTTCTCCTACTTTTCCTCCTCTTATAATTGCTTTTCATGGAGAGGTAAGTAGATCTTTTTGACTCTACTGACTTTTATAAAATGGTGCATGAGTGGCTTCATTTTCTTGTCTTGTCATCTGTTCTTTCTGGTATAAGGAATGGAAAGTAACAACAACTGGGTATGATCATATCAGCAGGAAACATCCTTGCTCCTGGCTGATTCACAAATTGCCCCTGTCTTGCTTGCCATTTCAAATAGAGGGACAGAACATGGAACAGACAAGAAAATTAAAGGGGCTGCACACATACATAAATTCTGCTTATAAAGGTAGGAAAGGATCAGTAAATAAAAATAGGCTATATAAATCTCAAAGACCCACACAGGAAAAGATATAGGTAATTCAATATTTAGAGAAAGAGAGAAAAGAGAAGGGGAATCTGTTTACTTGTCAATTTTTTTATTTAATATTAATAATTTGCCTTTTCAGTAGATAAATAAAATATAGTTTATACAAAGTTGACAACTAGGCAATTATCAAGGCAAACTTTTCCATCTCTACCTGTTATTCCTGTCCTATAGCCTATAAGAAATTATGATTGTCAAGAGAAAAAACCCAACAGTATGCATCTTACACAAGGATGTCCTCCACCAGGGTGTGAAGGGCGCTGGGATTGCGGATGAGTTTGTCAAGGAAGCTGACGATGTCGGTAAATTTGGGTCTGTGATTTCTCTCCTTCTGCCAGCAATGGAGCATTAGTTGGTGTAGAGATGCTGGACAGCCCATGGGAGCTGGAAGTCTGTACCCTTCTTCAATGGACAGAATGACCTAAATGCAAACACACACAGATTATTCTCTTATTTTGGGGACAATAACATATATTCTAGGTTACAATTCCTTTTTTATACAAATAGTAGAAACCAAAATAATGGTAAGCATGAAAACCACTTGTGAATACAAGGGGTCTAAATAAGAATAAATACAAAAGTTGTGAACAAAAACTGCAAGTAGCTCCATTGCATCTGCTGACTCCACCTGAGAGGAAAATATGTCATTGTGCTTCCAGTACACAGAAAGTAGGTTAAGTTCCATTATAATCTCAAGATTTTGTTTTTCTGTGATTTAGCTGAAACATCTCAAAACCCAGTTAGAACATCAGAAAGTCAGCATAAAATTGATACATTTAGTACAAACAACATGTAACAAATGTTTTAAGTAACATTTAAGTAATATTCTGCTCAAGCACGGATTTCCTGAGTCCTTTTATTTTATCCTTTTATTATAATGACAATGTGTATTCTTTTTCTAACCTTGATTCCTTTTTTCTGTCTTCATTTATTTAATTCCTTTTCTTTTCTGGCTTTACTTTAGTCTGACACAGACCTGATTATAAAGTCATCCTTCCACAACTTCCAAGGTCATGTAATCCTTGAAATGCTATTAATGGCTAGTATAAGGCCACAGAGCAATAAGAGCATTCAGGCTATTTCTGGGCCAGAATGCTCCAACAGAACTTCTGTGATGAAAGAAATGTTCTCTTTGTACAACATGGTAGCACATAGTCGCACATGGCTATGGAACACTTGAAATGTGGGTAGTAGGAGAGAAACAGAATTTTTAATTTTAGTTAGTTTTAATCAATTTAAATTTCAATTTCTATAGCTACACATGGCTAATGGCTACTCTATGGGACAGTGTAGCCATAGGGAAAAAAATCTGTATAAGAACTAAAGTTAAGAGTAAGAACGAGATAACAATAAATATTTCCCTTGGTATTCAGGAAATCACATACAAGATGAGGTAGGACATTCATCTGTTTAATACATAACTTACCTGTGAATTTTCTAACAACGTGATAAAATTGACCCTGAAGGTATGTAGCTTAGGTTTTTATGAAACATTCAAAAGTATTCACCCGAACATTTATTCTTACATTATCTCTAGTAGAAAGACAAAGGAAAGGGTTTATTCCCCACATTTTTCAGGTGGGAAAACTAAGAAACAGACTAATATTTAAAGACAGACAAAATTTAACCTTACCCTTTCCATGCCCCCTTCCAAAATCAGAAATGTAAAAATACAAATTAATTTATTTTTTAATTGATACTATTTGACATGACTCTAAAATATTCTTAATTTATGTTAGAGTCAGTTTGTTAAAAAAAGGAGCAATAATATGCCTTCAGGAACCTCTTAACTGCTAAGTTTTAGCTGTTTTAGTAATAGGGAGTTTCTCATAATCCTATCATTGTCTTTGTAACCAGAACACTTTAGCCTGTCAGAATACCAGCATTTTTCTATTTATTTTATATTTTATATTTTAGTTTATACAAAATTTATTCCATTATTGAACAGTTTTTCTCATATGTTTTCTGACTACTCCTGCTACCAACTGGGCTTGAATTTTAAGACTTTTTTTTGCACATTTTAGTAAAACAGTATGTTTTAACAGGATGTTTGTAAAAACATTTGCAACGCATCAAAACTATTGCAGATAGCTTAGAGAAGTAACGAAGAAAAATAGGATAGAATTTCATTATAAAACAACTTTGAAATCTGACCCTTGGGATGCTCAATAGTCAATTTACCACAGTTACTTAATTATAAATGCATGGAATAAAATAGGTGACAAGTGAGGTTATATTCTGAGGAAAAAAAAATAGCTGCCTTTATTGCATATCCATCATGTGCTAGGTGCTTTGCATATTTTTCTTCATTTACTGCTTAAAATAACTCAATATGGTACTTATTATTATCTTCATTACTTAAATGAGACAATTTAAACTCAGAAAAGTAAGGAAACTTGCCAAAATTCACATAGCCAGTAAGCGGAAGAGTTGGAATTTGAACTAAGTTCCTTTTAACTTCCAAAATTTCCCTCTGACCATTCCCTAGAAATGCTTTTCAGTTCTCATGATATAACATCTTTTTCTCTAATTATATATTACCCTACACAATTTTAGTTGTGAATACCATGTTACCTTTTGTCCCAGCATCTGCTAATGGGACTTCAATGTTTTTATTTGGATTCTGTATTTAATATTCTGGGTAAATAAAAAATACATTTATTTTTATAGCTTGCAAAATATAATGTCAAACTGAAGTGAGTCATTTCTAAATGGTACTGAGTCTTGTGCACCATTCTATTATTGTATCCATTACACTGCATTGTAATTTTTTCATCAGTCTTTCCTCTAAGGCTATACATACTTGAAAGCAGGAATTTTACCTCTATATTATTGAAAACAGGAATTACGCCTCTATATTTTATTTGCTCATCATTTAGTACCATGTCTGACACATTAATAAATATTCCTGACCTAAACAGAAGCTATTAGAAGAAATGTTTGGATTTGTCTTGAGAGAAGCAGATTCTTAGAAAACTTCGAGTCTCAAGGTACCCAAAACAGAGTTAAAGTACAAGCATGAGAGCACTGGCAATGCTCTATGAAGGAAATGTCAGTTAAAAACATGGTGCATCAAGCATCAGTGTCCAAAAATGATTTAATGATCTCACTTTGGTTTGCCTGGACAATGAGTCAGGTAAGACTGGGCACTTGCTCTTCCCTTAGAGATAGGCTCTTGACTCAAACTCAGGTTCCTATAAGATCAGTGGCTTCCTCCTGCTGTCCAGAGGGGTTACTATTTCCCTGGTTACTGGCTCCAGGTCCTTAGCTACTAGGTAGCTGACTTTCCAAGACAACTCTGGTAAACAGGTGGCACCCAAATCTAGACTGCTCAATATTAAGCAGGCTGTTTATTCCCTTCTGACAAAGTTGCTGTCATGCTCAGCTTGTAAGAGGAGAGAATGTGATAGGGTGGGTTTCCTTGTCTGAAACCTTTACCCATCATGTTGTCCAGCAGAGTGTCTGGTTCCAGCATGCCTCTCTGTGGGGGCAGTGGGAGGCTCAGGGCACAAAGGACTTTTCTTCTTGCTGACCTCTGGCTTTGAAGTTTCCCCAATTCTTTAACTTGTGATCTTGCAAAATTTGTTTTGAGCCCTGGCTTATGGCAGGTTCCAAACACAAAGGAACCCATCTAATAGGAAAATAATAATAATAATGATAATAATAACATCAGTGACAATGATAAAAACAGGTAATGATTGGGAGCTCTTGAGTACTTTCAAATGTCAGTTCTAAATGATTATAAACGTATCAATTCTTTTAATCCTCACAATAACTTTATAAGGTAGGTATAATTGTTATCTCCATTTTGCAGACAAAGAACTTAATTACAGAGAGGTTTAGTTTGCCTAAGATGACATATCTGAAAATTCTGGCTTCAAAGGCAGCCAGAGAAGAAATTTCTACCTTTTAAGCAATTCACAAAATTGCTTAAAACATCTTTCTAATGGACTTTTTAATTTATTCATCCAAACAGATACATATTAATCACTTTAAACATACTTTTGACCATTCTATGTGTAAGGGATAAGATAATGGGTAGGACATATCTCTGTCTTTAGGAAACATATTATTTAGTTCGAGAGTAACCAAGGAATATAAACCTGACAAGTGCCACATAGAACAAGGTGCTATGGAAGCATGTGGGAGGAGTACCTAACCCAGCCCCAGGAAGACTTCTCAGAGGAGGTGAGTTGAATCTTATAGGACATGTAGAAGGTAGCAGGGTCAAATAGGTGGGTTGAAGAGATCACATGTGATCTGGAATGAAAGGAGATTTATGTGGCTAGAACAGAGTCCTCAAAGAGAAGGATGGTGAGATTTGAGGCTGGGAAGTTAAGTAAAACTATATTTCTCGAGGTCATGGATGACTTAGCATGCTATAAACTTAGACTTTATGCAAAGGAGAAAAGGGTTTTAGCCAGTAAATTATATTAGATTTCCCATTTAGAAAAGCTCACTCTGCTGCACTGTGGAGAGTACACTGGGGACTCAAGGGTGGCCAGGAAGGGGGTTTACAGTGGTCCAGGCCAGAAATCAGGATGGACTTAGTGGAGGCAATGGCCATGGAGTACAAGAATTGGACTGATTTGACAGGACTGGGCTGAGATCAGATATGACAGTAGAGGGAGGTGACAAACATAACTTCTAGGTTTTTGGCTTGGTCAGCTGGTAAAGAGAGAGGAGAGGAGAAAAATCAATTTGAGGGCTGGGGTAGATGATGAGTTTTATTTTTCTGTGAGCTTTCTGGTTTTAGATTCAAGTAACATATTCTCTGAGGGCTTATTATGTGTCAAGTTATGGGTTAGGTGTTTTTCAATACAGCGTACCTTTTTTGAGTCTCAAAAATACCTTATGATGTGAATATGATTATATACATTTTATAGGTAAGAAAATCGAAACTCAAACTGATTAATGGATTGGATCAGCATTACATAGGAGATTTTGGTTATTGACCCTTTACTGGATGTATATCAGGCAAATATTTTCTCCCATTCTATAGGTCTTCTAAGTGAAGTATTATAAGAATAGAAAAATAAACACCACATGTATTATTAAATTGGAACTAATCGATTAACACTCATGCACATATGGTAGTAAAACTCAATGGAAATCAAGCAAGGTGGGGGGAGAAGAGGATGGGTAAATTCACACCCAATGGGTGCAATGTATTACTGTCTGGGTGAGGGCATACTTATAACTTCAATGCAAACTGTACAAAAGCAATTCATGTGATCAAAATGTTTATACCTTTGTAATGTTGTGAAATAAAAAAATTACATAGCAAACAATTTCCTGAATAATAGACTAATAATATCATCATGGTAGCCTCTGAATCCTAATAGAGGTAGAGAAAATCTGTCCTGTGTCTTGAGTCACGTCCCTTACTTATCTCCCCAGAAGTAGATCTTGAGCCCTGTC